TGCGTGTCTGCGTGTCTGCGTGTCTGCGTGTCTGCGTGTCTGCGTGTGTGCGTGTGTGCGTGTGTGCGTGTGTGCGTGTGTGTGTGTGTGTCCATGGCACCCGCGATACAGGATTTCCCTGGTAACCTATCAAAAACTCGAATTTATTTTTTCCGAAATAACGTTACTTCGATATTTCATTACTCCGAAAACCAAATTAAAAAGAAACCGTTGTTCTTTCAGGATATGTTGAATGTTTATCGCAAAGACACGATTAGGTTCGGTTATGTTAGGTTAAGTTAGGTTTAAAAGAAAAAACATTTTCCTCTCAAAATTACTTTCGAGGTTATGAAAATTCTAGCAAATGTTATTTCTGGAAAATGTCATTTCGGATTTCTGATAGGTAACCGGTGTGCGTTTTTATATATCAATATTTGTAAAATATTAAATAATATTTTCAGATAATATACGTATTGAGCATAATAAACATTGCCATGGAAATTAGACAGCGAACATTAGCCCGAAAATGACTGTCTAAAGCGATGATTCAAAAGTGATCGAGTCCATGTCATCGAAAAAGGGGGGTCACGAGAATAGAGCCTACTTAGGCAGGTCATGGCCAAAATTTTGGCTTTTTATAAATGAAATAATCTACATTATACAAAATAATTCCTGTGTAAATACAAAATACTGTCTTTATGATTTATATGTCTGTTACATATAAATCAACAAGAAATAAGATATTCCATTAGGTGAGCGTATAAAACTTAACATCAATTTGTTTGGCAGCTGTCAAATACACATTTGAAGTTGATGGATTTGTAAAAATATCAGTATTAAAAAGGCAGGGGGTCATAAGGTAATAATAATAATAATAACGCTCACACTGAACATAATCCCGCACTAGGGAAACCCTGTATGGTTGATGTCATGGACACACACACATAGACAGCTATAAATTTTACCCAAATTCACGAGAAAATTAAAAGGTATGGTACTAAAAACGATAGGAGCAGTGGACTGAGTAGCAGGCAGCGGCGGAGGAAAAACACTTATTTTGTTGAAAATTTTATAAACAAAAATGTAATTCAAAATACAAAAAATCTAAACTAATTCCAAGTTTAAATATAACATAAAAAAAGAAGTAAAAAAGATCTATATGTATAAAAAAGATCTGTCGCCAACATGGCACGCCCCGGTGCAAAGCACCAATCTAAAAAGATCTATATGTATAAAAAAGATCTGTCGCCAACAGGTACAAATGTAGTTTCAGTTAGTAACTTTCGATTTTTACACCACAACAATTACATCAAACTAGGAGGCTCGCTGCTCGGAGTACCACAGCAACGAAAGTAACTCCGAGGCGCTTCCCAGAAAGCCCAAACCAGAGAATTACTAAGTTGATCAGCATTAAAAAAAAATTGACAATTTTGTTCGTTTTATATAGAAAACATTTGATTAAATTAGACCAACTTCTGCTGTCCCGATTTTATTCGTCCCATACCATGAAATGATCCTTACATGAAACTGAGTTGGCACTAAAAAAAAAATAACGCAGTTTTATAATTTTTTTGAAGTAGACCTTCACAAATGTCCTCTTACGTTTGGGGTATTGCTCTCAAAAACCGGAACCCGGAAAACCGTACTCATACAAAAGACGGCATTGGGAAATATAAACTTAACTTTACAGACTACAAGTTTAAAAAAACACGTTAAATGTTATTGCAAATTTCGTCCTATAAATATGTGTACATATATACACTGTGTAAAGTAGATAGAGTAGAATTTTACGTATCGCACACCGACGTCAATACTGACACATCTCAAAAATGGCAAATGTGACGGCGATGTTTTCGAATAAACACCGAAGTCGAAATAGCATTAGTTGAGAGTTGCCATAATTATTCAAATTTTTATCGAAAAAAGTTGAAGGAAAAAGTTACGATTTTTTACGTGTGACGTTGGTGAAGCGGACAACCAGTATACCAGTAGAGCTCCTTGTAAAAGAGTTCGTCCAGGGAAGTACTGCCACCTTACTTACTTCTACCGCCAAGCAGTAATGTGAGCATTACTGCGTTCCGGTTTTGAAGGTTAAGGGTGCCAGTGCAATTACAGACACATGTGACTTGTCAACTTATGTCTCAGGGTTGATGGGCGCAGGGGCAGTGCTATTTAAATGCGATTTAATGTGAGTGCCACTGCAACTGTTATGGACAGGCTTGTAACTTACCACCAGGCGCACGACTTGTTCATATTACAAAACTTCTCGAAGCGTTGTTTGGGATTCTCTTTTTTAAATTTTTATCTCTATCCAGCAAATGTTTATGGAGTTGTGGAGTGTTGTAATTGGTATTAATATACTACACAATACTCCACGTGTTGTAATATTGTTTCTTTTGCCAAGTGTACACACGTAAAGGATTTATTATTTATTCGTGCTTGAAAATTTTATAACTATTATTAATACATATTCAATGTAATTACAATGTAGGTAAATAAGTACCGCTGTTAATGAGGTAGCTAAAGTATATAATAGATAGGTAACTGTATTCTTTTTATTTGTACCGTGACGTTCCTTTGATGAGGTTCTTGTGTTCTAGGACCATGATCGTGTTTTAAAGCTATTTACTAATAAAAATATCTTATATTTTATTCAAATAATATTTTGACGTGAATCTTAGATTTTTTTCTAAATGAGGTTGTATTTTAAGTAAGGTCGTTGAGTGAGCGACTTGATAGTATCGTGACAGACGCCCCTTTTTAACCTACGTCAAAAAAAGGTAGAGGTTCTCAATTCGACTGTGTTTTTTGGTATATGTTACTCCGACATTTGTGAACAGATTTCTATGATTCTTTTTCTGTTGGAAAGGGGGTACCTCGGTAGTGGTCCCATTTAAATTTGAAGAAAATGTTCTACCTGTAAAAGTGGGAAATTAGGGGATGAATCTGGTTTATTGAATTTCACCTACTTTTCGTTAACGACTCCAATAAAACTTGGCAAATGTATGTAATTCCACAAACTTTTAAAATAAATTCAAAAATTAAAAATAAAAATCTTTTATTTTCAGACAGCATAAGTCCATAGTTTATATAGTATATATATTAAAATTTTCAAAATCGAGATGTCAAAATATTCAAAATACATAATACAAAATACTCTGAAATAATAATAATTTAATCAAAAGTAAAAATATTAAATAACTAAAATTTACCATTAATATAATAAAAATTCAAATTAGGAAATAAAATAATAATAATTAATTGGAGCACTATTAAAATTTCGAAAATTACATGTCGTAGCGAAATCCATTACAATACAATTTTGATGTCCGTTGTTTTAAAAAAGCATTGTAATTATTCAATAAATCGGTATTTCAACGGTTTTAAATTAAAGGTATTCAACCTTTAATTTAAGATGCAGTTAAATACTTGTTTAAGCTTATTTGAAAGACATTTTTATAAATAAGTATCTGAATCTGACTTGGTGATAAATATCTAATGACACTTTTTTTAATTTCAGGTAAAAAAACGTACTAAAACACACCGAGTGCGATTTAATGTGAACAAGTGATGCAGTGACGTATTCAGTGAAGTAAACAAAAATGACTACCCAGGAAGCACAGGACTACCTCCAAGGCATCACCCCTGGACCACTTACAAGAGAGATCCCAGAATGCATGCGAGACAAATACACCATAGTCCAAGCCATATTGGACATCATTGGCTTCTGGATTATGATATACACGTATCTGTTTCAAGCATTGTATAGAAATATTGTAGGATATCCGAAGAAGGATCTAAAAGGAGGTGTGGCGCTGGTAACGGGCGGCGGAGGAGGTCTGGGAAGTCTTATAGCTTTGAGACTTGCAAGATTAGGCTGCGAGATCGTGCTGTGGGATATTAACAAGCAGGGTAAGTTGTATTTACATTCATACACGGTGATTTTGGTAGTTTGATATACCACCTATTCACCCAATATACGTTTTGTTTCCTCTTTCTTTCTTTCTTAGCGCTTACACACGTCCTCTTTTAGCAGCGATATAAACGCGCGTTCGTGAAACGTGACATTGCTTTGCGACGCTACTGCCGTCCGCTAAGTGTCAAAATATTTTTTTAAGATGTCATAAAAAATCATAACCCAGAATATTGAAAATGTTTAATGATATTTCAGCCACGCATCGTTAGGGTAAGTTCCGATAAGTCAAATACGTTAACTAAGTTTACCTCTTCTTAAAAGAGAATTTTGTGCTCTATCTTTTGCTATTTGAAATGGACATTTGACCATTTGTCACTTAGCCACGTTATAGTTCGTGGACGGCAGACAAGCAAACTATAGGCGGTTGCATCGTTGCAAACGCGCAACTTCGTCGATGCCTTCGCTTGTCATCTTTAAAAACGTGCATTGCGTTTGCATCGCAGTTGTATCGCTGTATTAGCGACTGTATATCTACTGCAGCACGGTTGAACCGCAGTAGACGCGATGCTAAGTCACCGCTCTTCAGGGTCTATACAACCTCTAATGGCTTTGGTTGACGCCGCGTAACAGTGAAAGCGTTAAATCGATCACTTTGGAGAAAATATATAATAAAATTAAGGACATACACTGATCAGTATACGGTGTGAAAACACGGTTCCTAAAAATTTTCACTATAGAAAAAAAACACAAACTTACCTCGAAATTTTACAAGAAAACCGCTGTATTCTGTAGGTACTTTACAAATTTTTTTTTTTAAATATCAACTGAACTAAATAGGACACGTATATTATACGATATACATTATTCAAATGGCTTTAAAAATTTGAATACGAGCAGTGGCAGTGGGAACATCAACTCTTAATGCGTATAATAAAGTAATAGAATACACTACCGGCTTTGTTACTCGAAAGCTACAATTGGGGCCTATTCAAAGCTGGAATGAATAGACATTTTTTTAGACAATAACGTAACCTGCTCCAACACCATCACTGAGGCGTCCATTGGCGGGACGCCATCGCAAGGGGTCCTTACAATAAGCGCACACTGACAGCAACTACACCGCGGTTGCATACTGAAGCGTACTGTCCTGGAATTGTTAGATTTAATTCCACTTACCATTTTCCATCATCGGCGGACTAGACTTAGGTTTGAGTTCCACTCCTATGTTGTGAATATTCCGGATAGGAATAGGATTTGAACACATTCAGGTATGTGGCAAACGCCTATGGATTCCCTGGCTGCAGACTTATTCCCTGAACGTTATAACTTGGTTTCCATCGTCGACCTCATCGTCGCTTACCATCAGGTGAGATTGAGGTTAAATGCGTAATTTTATGTTATAAAAAAACATCGTGCTCATGACTAGCCTCTCTTCAGATCAGTCGTAAAATTGCAAGCTGGTTTATAACCAGTTCTGTATTGAAACATTGTAGTTCTGTTGAAGAAAAGAAGAGAACAATATTCCAAGAAAGAGAAGATTTTATAATAAACTTATTTATCGAAAGTAGGTTTTATTTAGTAGCAGTACAGCTCCTTGTGAAAGGGTGTATCCAGGGTAGTACTGCCACCTTACCTATTTCTGCCGCCAAGCAGTAATGTCAGCAATATTGCGTTCCAGTTTTGAGGGTGCTGGTGAAATTACTGGCACATTGGACTTGTCAACGTATGTCTCAGGGTGACTGGCGCAGTGGCAGTGCCCTAAACATCTTTGCGATTTAAAGCTCTGAGTGGCACCGCAACTGTTATGGACAGGCGTGTAGCTTACCATCAGGCGCACGACTTGTTGGTCCCGTCACTTGATACTATATAAAAAAAATACCATAATAATAATGTCCAATGGTAAGCAAAGTTTGTATCTGTTTGTCTGTTTGAATCATTGATTTAGGCAGGTAATAAAGAGGCTCTACTACAATACAATATTTTAGCTGGTAGTCTTATTTATGATGACAATGAAACCAGTTTATTTAGTGAAACCAGTTTAGTTAATTATTGCCTAAACATCTGATGACAAAATCAGAGGAGTGTCTCATCAGGTTTAAATCATATGTTAACAGCCTCAAGCCATGTGTCCTTGCCATCAAATTTATCTTCCTGCTTAAGTAAATTAATCTTGGATTAAGAGAACGGAGTATTTTTTATACTTGGACGCTGTTAAGCAACAATCAATAACGTATCAACCAAAATGATCATAGAATTGCTCAAATGGCAGTTTTTGATAGGTTGTTTAAACTGTGCTTGTCAAATTAAAACTTTGCAGTTGTGCTTGTTTTTGTTGAAGAATTATAGTAATTAATTACAACGATTCGTCATTCATGAAGTAAAAACAGTTAAAGTTTTCATTTTACAACTAAATTTTAGAACAAAGTATCAAAAACAACGAAAAGATCTTTGGGTGCCGTTTTCGCAAAACTATGATCCTGTTGGTTGACACGTTATTGCTTTTCAACGTCCACTTGATCCAGAATTTAAAAAAATAGCATATGAAGTAAAGACTTACCTACATAATAAAAAAATGTCTTTGTATTGAAATACAATACAATACAATACAATACGAATATAATACGAATATTCTTTATTGCACACGGACAATTTCATAATAATACAAAAAACTAAAAATGACAGGTATAACTGGCGGCCTTATTACTAAATAGCAATCTCTTCCAGGCAACCTTCGGGTTATAGGAAAAGCTGTAAGATAAAATTATTTGAAGGCGCTACAGAATACTCAATATATTGCATATGTACAAATGAAGAAGAAAATAATAATAATAATAATAATAAATAAATTAAATATGTACTTTCAAATCTGCGCATGAGACTGCAACGAGTCAATTTGCAAAACATTGCCCAACGTAATGTCAGCTGTACCGTGTGCTTCGGTCTTATCTACATGAATCATAAAGTGTTTATTTTATAGTTGCAAAATTCTTTAACCTTGCGAATTATTAATACGTGGATTTCTTATTATACGTGATTCTAGTAGCAGTAGAACTCCTTGTGAAAGAGTTCGTCGACGGAAGTACTGCCACCTTACCTGTTTCTGTCACCAAACAGTAATGTTACTCACATTTCCCTGCATTCCAGTTTTGAAGGGTGCTGGTAAAATTGAAGGCACACGGGACTTCTCAGGTCAATGATTTCCTCGAGGATAACGAGGATAAATGATAGAAGTAGTTATGATTTATGATTTAATGTTAAGTTACATTTTTCATAGTAGGTATAGTGTATAATAAATATTAAGTTTTTTTTACTAAGTTTTATTGTGTATAGTAAATATTGTTTGTATGTAAGTGTACGTATTTAGTTTACTTATTTATTTCACATATAATTATATGTATCCATATAGTTTATATTATTATTTATTATGCTTATAGACATCCCGTGCTCTGTTTTTATTTTCAATGTATAAATCGAGGATAACTGTTACTGGTTTAGTAATATGTGATTAACTTTTTGTAATCTATCAATATTTGTTCCCAAATAAATAAATGACGAGGTCACGAGGCTAGCTAGCTACCTTTCCACTTTGGATAGCTCAGCTTATGTTTGGCGGAAGTAACTCGCCTTCCGGTCATTGGTGGCTTTAACTAGACGTTAATATTTTATGAAACCTCAAATGTGATTCATATATGTATATTTTTTATGACATCAAGTGATGGGATGAACAAGTCGTGCACCTGGTGTCAAGAGACACGTCTGTTCAAACAGTTGCATTACCACTCAGAGCTTTAAATAGCAAAGATATGTGGAATACCACTGCCCCTATCATCCTGAGACATAAGTGGACAAGTCTCCTGTGCCTATAATTTTTAGCACCAGTATAACTCAATAGAAGGGTCAATTTATGTCTCAGGGTGACGGGCGCAGTGGCACTCCAACTGTTATGGACAGGCATGTAGCCTTCCAGCAAAAACGGAACGCAGTGATGCTCGCATTATTGTTTGGCAGTAATGTGAGGTGGCTGTACTTCCCTGGGCGAACTCTTTCACAAAGCGCTCTACTGCTACTAAAAATATCACTGTATTGGCCATGGACTTGCTTCTAGAAAAATCTTTTAATACCGTAACATTACCATTGAGCGCCATCTAACACCGAATCAGCTCCAAAACGTGTTTTACGAGAAGTCCGTTTTTATAGCGAAAGTCCAAAGTCCCGAAGGTCACATGTCACGGTCACAAAGATACATTGTACAACTTACCACTCAACTCTCCGAAACGATGCCTTTCACTCAGTGTCAGTTGATGAGAGGAATGTGACTTGTGTTGATCATTTTACAAAACCGTCAAGAGTGGTCAAATATTTGCCTGCCTAGAGAGTTGTTGAAACTAGTATTGTTTGCTCTGCTACGTTCTAAGGCCAAAGTCGCTTTTGCAACAGCTGAGAATTGAGTATTGCTATTAAATTTTGATAGTCAGGACTCCATCAGAAGGTCTCGAAGTATATTCTCTTTCAAAAAGATTGTTCATGAGTATCTTTTAAATTGTTTGCCACAGTGATAACCATCATCATATTCTGTATACGTATACATATTATGTATATGACTATATTAGGTTGTCTGTATGAATGGATTAGGTTCTATATAATTTATTAATATAATAATTTTGTTTTTCTTAAAGGTCAATAAAGTTTAATGAATAAATAAATAATCACTTCTATCTGACTTTTTGCACTGACAAGCAAATGCTTACGTAGATTTCCAGTTCATTACCTTTACAATAATATTAAAAAACTATCCAAAAATATTATCAAGATTAAATAATTTACAAGGCATTTGCTTTCTAACTTCTTTTATTACAGAATAAAAAAAAACTCTAGTTAACTACGTCTAGACTAATCAGTCCATTGTGTTTTTTGGTCGTAATTATTTTCTTGCATTAAAACTGAAGTACGATTTCTTCATGATCACGATCTGTTGCAACATAGTACATGTATATCT